CAATCAATGTCCTGAAGCTTTTCCTTTGTGTTTTTTCTAGTACTTTTATAGTTTCAGGTCTTAGATTTACAATTTTAATCTATTTTTTTTATATGGTGAGAGATTGGGCTCTGGTTTTATTCTACTGCTTATAGAAATCTATTTTTTTTCACAGCACCATTTATTGAAGAGGCTGTCCTTTCCTCAATGTATGCTCTTGGAACCTTTGTTGAAAATCGGTTGGCTGTCAATACATAGATTTATTTCTGGGTTATCTATTTGGTTCCATTGGTCTGTGTGCCTGTTTTTTTAACAGTACCATTGTTCTGGTTACTATAACTTTGTAGTATACTTTTAAGTCAGGTCATGTAATGCCTCCAGCTTTATTTTTTTAGCACAGGATTGCTTAAGCTATTCAGCATGTCTTGTGGTTCCATACATATTTAAGATTTTTTTTTCTATTTATGTGAAGAATGTCATTGGTATTTTGATAGGCATTGTATTGAATCTGTAGATTTCTTTTAATATGGTCATTTTAACAATGTTAATTTTTCCAATCCATGGACATGAAATGTCTTCTCATTTTTTGGTGCACTCTTCAATTTCTTTTATCAGTGCTTTGCAGTTTTCATTTTTAGAACTTTCACCTCCTTGGTTAAGTTGATTCTTAGATATTGTTTTAAATTTATTTTTTGGTAGCTATTATAAATGTGATAGCTTTTTGATCTCCTTTTCAACTAATTTGTTAGTGGTGTATATGAATGCTACTCATTTTTGTATGTTGATTTTGTATCCTGCAACTTTCCTGAATTTATTTATTAGTCCTTAGAGTCTCGTGTGGAATCTTTGGTTTTCAAATAGCTAAGATCATATCATCTGCAAAGTGGAAGAATTTGACTTCCCTATTTCCAACTTGGTTGCCCTTTATTTCTCTCCCTTGCTTAAGTTCTGGGTAGGACTTCAAGTACTATGTGAATAAGAGTGGTGAAAGTGGGCATTCTTGTCTTATGTTAGACCACAGAGAGAAAGTTTTCAGCTTTTCTTCATACTATGATGTTAGCTGTGGGTTTGCTATATAGGCCTTTATTGTGTTGAAGTATATTTCTTCTTTACCAAATTTGATGAGAGAGTTTTCATTACAAGGGGTGTTGAATTTTATCAGATGCTTTTTTCTGTGCCTATTGAGATGATTATATGCTTTTCTTTTTCACAGTATTGATGTGATGCATTATATCTATTTGGAAATAGATATAGGAAAAAATGTATATGGTTTGTATATTTTAGATATACAAAATGTATATTGATTTGTATATGGTAAATTGTCCTTGCATCCTTGGGATTAATCCCATTTGAGCGTGGCATATAATCTTTCTGAACTGATACTGGATTTGGTTTGCTAGTATTTTGTTGAGAATTTATGCATCTATGTTTATCAGGGACATTGGCCTGTAGCTTTCTTTTTAAGTTGTATTCTTGTCTAGTTCTGGTATCAGAGTAAGGTTGGTCTTATATAATGAATATAAAAGATTTTTAAAAAATAGTTTGAGAAAAGTTAGTGTTAGCTTTTCTTTAAACATGTGGCAGAGTTCAGCAGTGAAGTTATCTAGTCCTGAACTATTTCTAATTGGAGGACTTTTTATTGCTAATTCAATCTAATTACTCATTAGTGGTCTGTTCAGGTTTTCTATTTTTTCCTGGTTTAATCTTGGCAGATTCTGTGCATCCAGAAATGTAACTATTTCTTCTAGGTTTTCTAATGTGTTGGCATATGATTAATTGTTCATGTATGTTTCTAACAAACCTTTGTATATCTGTGGTATTCATTATAATGCCTTTAGTTTCTCATTTTATATGAGTTTTCTATTAGTTTAATAGTTTGTCAATTTTATTTATTGTTTTAAAAAACCTTGTTATTTCATTGATCTTTTGTATTATTTTTAGTCTGTATTTTATGTAGCTCTGCTCTAATTTTTATTCTTTTCTCTGCTAACTTTGGGTTTGGTTTGCTCTTGCTTTAATAGATCCTTTGGAGTACATCATTAGGTTGTTTATTTGAAATCTACCTTTTTGATGTAAGAATTTATTGCTATAAACTTTTCTCTTAATATTGTTTTTTCTGTAAGTAATAAGTTTTGGTATTTGTATTTCCATTTGTTTCAAAATTTAATTTTTTTTTGTTGTTTATGATCCAATTGCCATTCAGGAGCATGTTGTTTAATTTCCATGTATTTATACAGTTTCCAAAGTTCCTAGTTTTATTGATTTCTAGTTCTATTTTATTGTGGTCTGAAAAAGTACTTGATATGATTTCAATTGTTTTAAATTTGTTGAGACTTGTTTTGTGGTCTAACATGGTCTGTCCTGGGGAGCATTCCATGTGCTGACAAGAAGAATGTGTACTCTGTAGCTATTGCATGACACGTTGTGTAAATGTCTGATAGGTTCATTTGGTTTGCGGTTCAGATTATATTCAATGTTTCTTCACTGATTTTCTGTATAGATGGTCAGTTTTAGCTGACAGTGGGATACTGAAGTCCCCAACTCATGGTTTGGGGCTCTATCTCTCCTATTCTTAATATTTGCTTTGTGTATCTTGGTGCTCTAGTGTTGGGTGCATATGTAAATTATAAATACTTACAATTATTATACTTAAAAAATAAAACTCACTGTTAGAACCTCTTGGTGAATTGATCTCTTTATCACCATATAAAAACTTCCTTGATTTTACATGTCTTTTTAAGTTTTTTTTTTTTTTTAACTTAGAGTCTATTTATTCTGATCTAATTATAGCTACTCCTATTTGCTTTTAATTTCTATTTGTGGGTAAATTTTTCATCTCTCTACTTTTCATATATATGAGTGTATTTACAGGTGAGGTGAGATTCCTGTGGGTGTTTTTATTTTTAATTCATTCAGCCAGTCTATATATTTTCATTCAGAAATGTAAATAGTTCACATTCAAAGTTGTCATTAGTACTTGAAGATTAACTTCTGTTATTTTGTTGTTTGTTTTGTATATCTTTCGTTACTTTATTCCTCTCATTGTTGATCTTTGTGGTCTGGTGGTTTTCTGTAGTGATAACATTTGATTTTTCTCATTTGTGTATTGGTTCTAACAGTGTTTTATCCTTTCTTGTGTTTTTATGATGGCAGATATTGTTCTTTCATTTTCAGATACATCCCTAAAGCATTTGTTTTATGGCTGGTCTAGTGGTGATGAATTTCCTCAGTTTTTGCTTGTCAGGGAAATATTTTATTTCTCCTTCATTTCTAAAGGATAACTTTGCTCAGTATATTATTCTTAGCTGACTGTTTTCTTCCCTTCAGCTTTTTAAATACAACATCCCATTCTCTCTTGGCCCGTAAGGTTTCTGCTGATAAATCTGCCGTTAGTCTGATGGAAATTCTCTTATATGTGACTTTTCATAGTTTAACTGCAAAGTGCCTCAGAGAGGAGCTTTTTAGGTTGGATTCATTTAGGGACTTTTGGGCCTAATATCTCTTCTAAGACTTGGGACATTTTGTTCTATTAAATAGGTTTTCTATTTCTTTTCTCATCTCTATTTTTTGTGAAACTTTCATAATGTGAAAACATTTTCTTAATGATGTCCCACAACTCACTATCATAGAATTTCTTCATTGTTTTTCATTTATTTTCTTTTGTGTCTAAATTATTGAGTTACGTTTTGAATTCTTTCTTCTGCTTTATCTAGTTTGTAATTCAAGCTTTCAGTTGTATTTTTTGGACTCTTGGAATTCTTCTGAAGATTATTGTTATTTTTTATAATATCCTTCTCCTTATCAAATTTCTCATTTAGATCATATATCATTTTTCTGATTTTGTTGAATTGTCTGTGTCCCCTTGTATCTCACTGAATTTCTTTTTTTTTCTTTTTTTTTTTTTTTGGAGACGGAGTTTCGCTCTTGTTACCCAGGCTGGAGTGCAATGGTGTGATCTCGGCTCACTGCAACCTCCGCCTCCTGGGTTCAGGCAATTCTCCTGCCTCAGCCTCACGAGTAGCTGGGATTACAGGCACACGCCACCATGTCCAGCTAATTTTTTGTATTTTTAGTAGAGACGGGGTTTCACCATGTTGACCAGGATGGTCTCGATCTCTCATGATCCACCCACCTCAGCCTCCCAAAATGCTGGGATTACAGGCTTGAGCCCCCGTGCCCGGCCACTGAATTTCATTTAAAAATTATTTTGTATTTTTCAGACATCCCATAGATTTCATTTTCTTTGGGTGTTACAGAACAATTATTATCTACCTTTGAAGGTCATATTTCCTTGCTTTTTTATGTTTCCTTTGTTCCTTTTTTGATATCTGCACCTCTGGTGGAACACTTACCCTTTTTAATTTTATGGAATAGCCTTCATGAGGAAACACTTTTTTTTTTTTTCCTGTAGATATTGCTTGGGTAGGGTGCTTTGGCTTTAGTTGAGGGTGGGCACAGTAGTGTATCCTTTATTTGATTTTTTTCAGCTGTAATCAATGTCAGTGGTGTCTGTGAGTGCCTTGGTGTCCCAGGCTGTTGCTGTTCAGGAAAGCTGTGACATGGCTCTGCTGGTGGCAGTGATGCCATGCAGGGTGGCTCTCAAGACAATAGAAAGCATGCATGAGTTCAGGGCAGCTCTGAGGGGACATAGGGTTGCTAGTGGCAGTGGCAGGCCTTCGTCCCCAGAACCTGAGATCTGCCTATCTGAGTATGTCATCTCCTTCAGTCATGGGGGTAGCCTCCTTGGTGTGTGCTGGACCTTTGACCTGGGGTATAGGGCATTGCATGGAATTGAATTCCAGGGTCACTGCTTTACTGCTGGGTCCAGTAGTTGCCATGACACTGCAGCCCTTTGGGTAGATGTGAGATGTTGGCGCCACCCCAGGGATATGGACATGTGGGGGCTTTTGGATCCAAGGTTATGATTCACCCTGGTGGTGGGTTTACTCTGAAAATCGTGATGTTCTGTGACTGCCTGTGTCTTTGACTGTCAGAGGAATGCAGTGTGAATTATTTTTCAGGACTAATGAAGTAACCTGGACTCCAGGCAGCTCGCAAGACTGGACTCAGTATTCCAAGGGCTGTGGATCTCACCTATAGCCAGGATCACAGGTATTCATGATGGAAATGTGAAATCCTGGGTATCTTCTGCTTTCTTTTTTTCTCAGTGGCTCTAACTCAATTCTGGCTGGGTGCTTTTCTTCCTTCTCTATGCTGCCATTCCAAGTCTTCATCACTTCTTTACTGAATTTTTTTTTTCACTTAGACATTCCATCTGATGTGTGGTTATCTTATTGTTTTGTTCTTTCTTTGTTAAGGAGATACATGCTGGGTGCATCTATTTAGTCATCATAGCTGCTTCTGTCTCTGGCCCTCCTTTTGGCCACAAGACTATTTTATTTGATGCCAATATAACCACCCCAACTTCCAGTTGTTTACTGTTTTCTTGGTGTACTTTTTCAAGCTTTAATATCAAACTTTCTATTTCCTTATTGTCAGTGTACTCTGTTTTCCAAACAATGTAGTTATATTTTTGTCACTTTATTGTTTATAATTTTTTTTTTGAGACAGATTTTATTCTTTTGCTTAGGTTGAAGTGCAGTGGCACAACCATGGCTCACTGCAGTCTTGACCTTCCAGGCTTAAGTGATTCTTCCTTCTCAGCCTCCTGAGTAATTAGGACTACAAGCATCTTCCACCATGCCCAGCTAATTTTTAAATTTTTTTTTTTTTTTTGAGACGGAGTTTCGCTCTTGTTACCCAGGCTGGAGTGCAATGGCGCGATCTCGGCTCACCGCAACCTCGGCCTCCCAGGTTCAGGCAATTCTCCTGCCTCAGCCTCCTGAGTAGCTGGGATTACAGCCATGTGCCACCATGTCCAGCTAATTTTTTGTATTTTAGTAGAGACGGGGTTCCACCATGTTGACCAGGATGGTCTCAATCTCTTGACCTCATGATCCACCCGCCTTGGCCTCTCAAAGTGCTGGGATTACAGGCGTGAGCCACCGCGCCCAGCCAATTTTTAAATTTTTACAGAGATGAGGTCTTGCTGTGTTGCTGGGCCTGGTCTTAAACACCTGGGATCAAGCGATCCTCCCACCTTGGCTTCCTAAAGCACTGAGATTACAGGTGCGAGCCACTGTGTCTGGCCCATAATTCTTAATTATAACTGGATATTTCATTCATTTGCATTGAATGTGATTATGTTTGAATTCTTTTATGTTATCTCTTTTTGTTGTCTTTTAAAATTTTCTTTCAGTTTAGTTTTTCTTCCTTGTCATTTTCTTTACTGGTTGAATGTTTCAGGCTCTATTTCTATTGTTTTATTTCTTATACTAGGAATGTTAACATAAATATTTAACTTCGTATCTAAAATTTAGCAGTATTATGTTTTCCAAACGACAATAATCTTACAAGGCTATAATTCCAAATACCGACCCTTATTGCTAGTTTTTCAGAATGTCTGTCCTATCACATTTAATTTTTACCTTTGAATTATGAGATTGTTACATTGTAACTTTTTATTGAGATTTACCTACAAATTTAGCATAAAACATCTCAGTTAATTTTAAAAAATTGAAATTGTACAAAGTACGTTCACTTTTTTTAAAATCATGCCTTGTTGATATTCAAGCTTTTCTTTAAGAATAATTTTCCTTCTACCTAAAGTCAGTCCCCTATAACTGCCTTTAGTCGAGATCCACAGATAGACTGTCTCATTTGTTTTTGGCCACTCTCACTCTTAAAAGATAGCTTTTATGGGAATAAAATTTTAGACTGATAGCTATTTAAGCATTTTGAAAATACCTCTTCTCTTAGCTGTACCCACCTAGAACTTGGCTGCAGCAGCAGGTAGGTGGGGTAGAATGAGAAATGCTGATATCCTGCCTTTCTTGGGGAAATGGCTCTGTGAAATCTGGAGTTTGAGGAAGCTCTGTGTTCTTGTCTACACCTCTATGAAGTGGAGTTTACATCTGAGTTGGAAGGGGTTAGGGAGCGAGTGGGTCTCTGTTCAAATATTACAGATTTTTGCTGTTCTTGTTGAATTTTAGTCTATTTTCTTGATTTGTTTCATATTCTATGTGTTAAGACCAATTTGAGAGACTTCAAAATATTTTAAAGTAATTTTCACCAGATTTACTAGGGATTGGGTCTTTAGAACTCCTCACACTGGCAGGCCATACAGTTGAGCTGTGTCATGCATTTCTAATTTAATTGTGAATGAAAAACATATGTTGAACAATTTTAGTATTAAAATTCACTGCGACTTATATTCCAGATTATGGGCTATCATGAAGGATGTTCTCAATGTATTTGAGGATAACATATAGTCTGGTGCTTTTTGGTATCATATTTTAATAGATTTGTTATGTCTAGTTGACTTACAGTATTTTCTATTTCCTTGTTAATTTTCTGTGTAGTTGTTCAGTACCTTATTGAATGTGGGCTATTTACACATCTTTTATGGTTGAATTTCCTATTTTTTCAACTCTCAGTTTTTGCTTCATGTATTTTGAGACCTCTTTTATATGCATATACACATATGTTATATCTTCTAGGTTAATTGGCTTTTACAATTATATTCTTCTCTATCTCAAATGACCTTTGTAAATATTTTAGTCTTTTTTTCTGACATTTCTATTGCTGTATTCTTTCTTTGCCAATGTTATATTTGTATTTAAAACAAATCCATAAATATACTGTGAGATTTATTACTTCATGTAATTTTATATGGTTTAAGAAAGATGAGGGAAGGAAAGATAGCATGTATATTCTTAAAATTTGTTATATTTACCTTCTTACCATATTTTTTATGGTTCTCTCATTTCTTCTTGTGAATCTGAGTTATAAGGTATAATTTTCTTAGGGTCAAAGAAATTTGTTCTCATGTATCTTCTTAGCACTTTATACAAATATATACATATTAAGGAAATTAGTAATACTTATGAAATCAGATCAGAAAAAGAAAAACTATTTCATTATTTACCCAAAAATAATTCAGGGGCACATTATTTAATTTCCATGTAATTGTGTGGTTTCAAATGAATTTTTTAGTCTTGATTTCTAATTTAATAATCCTGTGGTCTGTTATGATTTCAATTCTTTTGCCTTTGCTGAGGAGTGTTTTACATCAGTATATGTGATTTATTTTAGAGTGTGTGCCATGTGGTAATCACAAGAATATACATTCTATTGTTTTGGGATAGAGAGTTGTGAAAACATCTATGAGGTCGGTTTGATTCAGTGCTGAATACAGGTCCTGAATATCTTTAATTTTCTGTCTTGATGACCTAATATTGTCAGTTGGGTGTCAAAGTCTCCCACTATTATTGCATGGGAGTCTAAGTCTCTTTGAAACCTCTAAGAACTTGCTTTATGAATCTGGCTGATCTTGTGTTGGTGCATATATGTTTAGGATAGTTATATTTCTTGCCCTTGTCTTTTTTATCTTTGTTGGCTTAAAGTCTGTTTGTCCGAACATAGAATTGTGACCCCTGCTTGTTTCTGTTTTCCATTTGCTTGATAGATTTTCTCCATCCCTTTATTTTCAGCCTGTGTGTTGCTTGTGAGATGGGTCTCTTGAAGATGCATACCAATGGTTGGTTGTTTACTCAGCTTATCACTCCATGTCTTTTAATTGGTATATTTAACCCATTTTCATTCAGTATTTATATGTGTGGATTTGATCCTGTCATGATGTTAGCTGGTTATTTTTCAGACTTGTTTATGTGGCTGCTTTACAGCATCACTGGGTTTTGTAATTTAATGTGTTTTTTTAGTGCCTGGTAATGGTCTTTTCTTTCCATGTTTAGTGCTTCCTTAAGGAGTTCTTGTAAGACAGGTCTGGGCATTCACTTATGAAGCTTAGTCTGAATATGGAATTCTGAATTGGAATTTCTTTTTTAAGAATGTTGAATATTGGCCCCCAATCTCATCTAGCTTGTAGGGTTTCAGCTGAGAGGCCCACTGTCAGTCTGATGGGCTTCCCTTTGTAGGTGACCTGGCCTTTCTATCTGCCTTTAACATTTTTTTCCTTTCATTTTGACCTTGGAGAATTCCTCATGGCATTTCTTACTGGGGCTCTCTGCATTTCCTGAATCTGAATGTTGGTCTCTCTAGATAGGTTGGGGAAGTTCTCATCGATGATATCCTTAAATATGTTTTCTAAGTTGGTTCCATTCTCCCCATCTCTTTCAGGTACACCAGTCGGTCATTTAGTCTCTTGACATAATCCTATATTTCTCAGAGGTTTTATTTATTCCTTTTCATTATTTTTTTCTCTTTTCCTCTCTGCCTTATTTTAGAAAGCCAGTCTTCAAGCTCTGGGATTATTTACTCTGCTTGGTCTATTTTATTAATATTTGTGATTGCATTATGAAATTCTTGTGTCTTTTTCAGCTTTATCAGGTTGGTTATGCTGTTCTTTATACTGGTTATTTTGTCTGTCAGCTCCTGCAATGTTTCGTCATGATTTTTATCTTCCTTGTATTGGGTTACAGCGTGCTCCTGTAGCTCAGTGAACTTCATTTCTACCTATATTATGAATTCTACTTCTGTCAGTTTAGCTGTCTCAGCCTCAACCTGGTTCTGAACCCTTGCTGGAGAAATGACGTCATTTCAAGGAAAGAAGGTACCCTGGCTTTTTGTTTTCAGCAGTCTTATGCTGATTCTTTCTCATCTTTGTGGACTTAGTTGCCTTCAATCTTTGAGGTTGCTAACTTTTGGATTTTTTTTTTTCTTTTAACAGTCTGGCCATTTTTCTGTAGGGCTACTATATTAGTCTGTTTTCATGCTGTTGATAAAGACATACCTGAGATTGGGAAGAGAAAAAGGTAAAATTGGAGTTAGAATTTCACATGACTGGTGAGGCCTCATAATCACAGTGGGACATGAAATTCACTTCCTACATGGTGGTGGCAAGAGAAAATGAGGAAGAAGCAAAAGTGGAAACCCCTGATAAACCCATCAGATCCTGTGAGACTTATTAACTCCCATGCGAATAGCCTGGGAAAGAGTGCCCTCCATAATTCAGTTACCTCCCCCTGGGTCTCTCCCCCAACACATAGGAATTCTGGGAGATAAAATTCAAGTTGAGATTTGGCTAGGGACAT